TGTGATCAAGTTGGATTCATTCCAGAGGCACAAAGATGATTCAATGTATGCAAATCAATCAATGTGATATATACCCTATTAACAAAAGAAAAGATAAAAATCACATGATCATCTCAAAAGATGCAGAAAAAGCATATGACAAAATACAACATCCATTCATGATTAAAACTTGCATCAAAGTGGATATAGAAAGAACACATCTGAACATAGTAAAGGCCATTTGCAACAGACACAAACCCAAGATAATACTAATGATGAAAAGCTAAATTACTTCATGCTAAATTCAGGAACATGACAAGAAGGCCCACTCTAACCATTTCTACTTAAATATTAGAAGTTTCAACCACAGCAACAAGACAAGAAAGAGAAATGAAAGGTATCCAAGTTGAAACTGAAAACGTAAAATTGTCACTATTTGCAGATGACATCTGAGAGTCATCTGTTCTATAGAGAGAAAACCCTAAAGTCTCTACAGAAAACTTTTAGAATTAATAAATGATTTAAACAAGGTAGTAGGATACAAGATTAATATACAGAATTATGTTGTGGTCTATAAACTAATAATGAAATATCAGAAAGAGAAAGATAGCTGTTTAAAAGCCATATCAGAAAGAATAAAATACCTAGGAATAATCTTATGGTGAAAGACATATACTCTGAAAACCAATAAAACAAAAATGAAGGAAACTGAAGTTGATATAAAGTGGAATAAGAGATCTACAGATTTAATTCAATCTCTATGAAAATATCAGAACATTTTCACTGTACTAGAATAAACAATCATAAAATTCATATAGAAACAGGAAAGACTGCAAATGGCCAAATCATCTGTAACAAAGGAGGTAAGAATATACAATGGAGAAAAGATCATCTCTTAACAAGTGGTTCTGGAAAAACTGAAGTCACATGTAAAATTACGAGATTAGAACATTCTGTCACACCATATACAAAAATAAACTCAAAATGGCTTAAAGGCATAATGTAAGAACAGAAACCAGAAAACTCCTAGAAGAGAACATAGGCTGAATACTCTTTGACATAAATTATAGGAATATTTTTTTGAATCAGTCTCCTAAGGCAAAAGAAATAAAAGCAAAAATAAACAAATGCAACCTAATTAAACTTAAAAGCTTTTGTCCAACAAAGGAAACCATAAACAAAATGAAAAGACAAGCTATAGAATGGGAAAAAGTATTTGTAAATGATGCACCAGACAAGGGATCAATATCCTAAACATATAAAAAACTCATAAACTCAATATAAAAAAAAAAAACCAAACAACCTAATCAAAAAATGGACAGAACACAGAACCTGAATAACCATTTCTCCAAAGACATACAGATACCTAATAGGCACATGGAAGGACACTCAACAAAACTAATTACAAGAAAAACGCAAATCAAAACAATAAAGAGATAACCAGTTCACTCTTGTCAGAATGACTACCACTGAAAAAGCCTACAAATATTGAATGCTTCAAGGATATGGACAAAAGGGAACCCTCTTAGACTGTTAAAAGCAGTGTAAACAGGTGCTGAAATTTTGGAAAATAGTAAATAGCTTCCTCAAAAACTGAAATTACAACTACCATATATGATTCAGCAACTCTACTCCTGGGTATGTATTGGGAAAAAAATGAAAACACTAATTCAAAAAGATACACTCACCCTAATGTTCATAACAGCACTATTTATAACAGCTATGTCATGTAAGCAACCCAAGTGCCTCTCAACAGATGACTGGATTAAGAAGATGGGTGTGTGCTTGTGTTTGTGTGAGTGTATATATAATGGAATACTACTCAGCCATAAAAAATGAAATTCTGCCATTTGCAGCAACATGTATGGACCTAGAAAATATACTTAGTGAAATAAGTCAGACAAAGACAAGAATGATATGATATCACATGTGGAATCTAGAACACAATACAAACATATATACAAAACAGACTCAAAGGTATAGAAAAAAATTTATGATTATCAAAGAGGAGAGAAAAGAGGGGAATTAAGGACAAATCTCAGGTATGGGATTAATAGATATAAGCTACTATATATAAAAGAGATGAAAAGCAAAGATTTACTGTATAGCACAGGAACTATAGTCATTTTATAATAACCTATAATGGAGTATAATCTGCAAAAATTCTGAATTACTATGCAATATACTTGAAGAATATGGAGAAGGAAATGGCAACCCACTCCAGTATTCTTGCCTGGAAAATCCCATGGACTGAGGATCCTGGTAGGCTACAGTCCCTGGGGTCGCAAAGAGTCGGACACGACTGAGCGACTTCACTTCACTTCATACTTGAAGCTAATATAATACTGTAAATCAACTACGCTTCAATTAGAAAAAAAATTGCAGGTAATTTATCTTTGATTAAAAATAGGTTCCAATAATTTCTTGAATAACTAATGTCATCTTTAAACTGTAAATAAAAATACAAATTTGTGAGTTTAACTGTAAATAAAAATGTAAATTTGTCAGACACATAAATGTCCTTAACTTTGTCTGATATCTAACAAATGATGAATTTTAAAACTGTCACTCCTTAATAGATTAGTCACGTACTTCCTAACCTAATACAAAGAATACCTCATTAACTATATTCAGACATTGGGTACCATTGCTCACTACAGATTTCTTCAAATGTTATAGAAATGGCAAGAATAAAGTAAACATCAGTGAAATGGCATCTGTAACCCAAAGCATCTTTCTCCGGTACAAAAATATAGATAGCAAGGAGGTGCAATAATTTTCCACCTTCAAGCCAACTAAAAAGTATATCCCTATTTCTATGTTTAACCATACCTACTTATAAGTTTAACAATGGGATCAAACGAGACACATAGTATTAGTTCAGTGTTAGGAATTACTTTCCAGTATATCCTGATATAAAACTGTCTCCGTAGACTACTAAAACATGAAGGAGTTCATGAAGACAATGCCCCAGAAACATACATTTCACAGGTAATTTCCCTCATCAAATTCTAACTTCTCTGCCTTTCTTAAAAATTGTACCCCCCACCCAATTTTTTGTTAACTTGTTCTGTTAAGAAAAATGATGGATAAGGAAGAAAATAAGATAACTGGGACATTGTTTCTTAAAATAAATTGCAACCCAGAAAAAAAAATTGTTTTGGCTAATGACTTAATAACCACACAACCAGTCAACACCTTTTCCCTGTGAAATATTTTATATTACCAATTTCCTAGATACTATATGTAAATACTTATAGGAAATAGAGCAAAAAGATAGAATTTTATTACATTTTAAACACTTGAACACATTTATCAGTAAATAAGAAATATGTTAAAAATGTAATGGACAATAAAGTTGAATCTCTCTACAAAGTAGCAACTAAAATAGAAGGATCTATTTCAAATTAAACTGATATAGATATTACTACATTAATATGCAACTATTTAAAAAGGTAAGAGTAACTTAGAAAACATGGGTGGATAGAAGCTAAAATGGATTTTAGAAAAAAATATTTATTGCATGAAATTTAGTTTCAAACTCTGAAAACAAAGACTGCTCTACTAAATACAGTCACTGAAAATATCTGGAATAAAAGCAGGGAAGCTGAATTTACACAGAATGTAGGTTTCCTTAACTATAAAACTAATTTTATTTTGCTACAAAAATAATCAATTTCCTTAGACTAAAAGGAAGACTAAAAGTGGAATACCGATTCAATATGCAAGCAACTCACAGTTCTCGGAATCAATACAATTTAGATGATTTTCATATCTCTAAGAAAATTAATCATTTTTTTTAAAGTATGTGCTAGAAAAATTTAACTAGCTTAATTCAAGGAATAAACACTGCCAGGGAAAGTCATTAGGTGGATAATTTTCTCCTTATCCAGAGGAATGATTAGTATTAAACCTTAGATATTTCAAAATGTATATAACAGCAATATCATTAAAAAACAGTAGTTATTCATTTTTAGATATTAATAGATATGGTTTTAAACCTCAAACATTCTATTTTTTGATGATGTTAATGTTACTGATTGTAAAACTTGCCATTATCCAGAACTTACATTTCAGCCACAGAAAGAAAGTAAAACACAGGAAAAGATACTCAGGACTTTGAAGACACAAGGGAGACATATCAAGTATCTAATTAATGAGAAAATTTTATAGACCACAAATCAGATTTGTGTGATGGTACAGATTTAAGTAATGGTACAAAGAGATTGCAAGCTTTCACTTGCTGATAAAACACAGAAGATTTCAGGGTACTGTAAAGTGATGTTCATTTGCTACAGATGTGCAAAAATGGCAATTTTGGCCTAAACTATAAACGTCAGCAAGAAGCTGGACAAAGGAGTTGGAACTGAGTCAGAATTTGAACAACGAGTAAGATTCAAACTCGTGTTATAAGGGTATTATTAGAGGACCTGCAAAGGTCTGACTATGTGAGTGAATGGTAATGCATAATTACTCTAGCTATGCATTTTTATACTCTTCCGAAATGTAAAAAATCATGATTCACAAAAACTGACAGGAAAGTAGAGGCTGTGAACCTTTAGCGCTATATCCATTTTCATATTTAAAAAACAAATGAACAACCCAAAAACCTTCATACATTTTTGCTGTCAGCTCCCAGGTAACCTGAGAGGAAAAGTTTTAAAATCTTTTTCTGCTTATAATTTTTCTTTTTTAATCATCTTGTTTCTTTTATAAATAGAAACTCTCAATATAAAGTTATCTTCCATATGATTTTTTTGGGTACATTGCTACCATTTTCTTTTTATCTAAGTAGGTTTATATTTCGTTGTTTAGGATTTAGCTTCCCTTCACTTTTTCAAAAATTGAGTAAAGGGGTATTACTTCCTTGCACTTATTGCCATTACAGGTTTGAAGTCTAATTAACTGCAAATGGATAATTCAAGAAACTAGTGGCTCCAATCTTTTATCCTCACAAAGAATGACAATACTTCCTTGCTATAGTTTCATGGAAGAAAACTGAAGAAATTTCAAGTATTTACCATTTCCAGTTTCTCTACCTTAACTCGAACAGATGGACTTAGGGAAATCTTCTTTCCTTGTGGCCCATAGTTATCAGTCCAAGCAGGGGCAATATCTAAGAGACAACAGGGTACACATTAATAGGAAATTTAATTGGAATAGAACTTTTCATTTGACAGGAGGTATTCTTGGCTCCTGCTGTTCAGAAAGAATTCTGGCTAATCAGTTGGCAGCTTTCACTTTTGTTTTCATTATTTTTTGTTCTTTAAATCTAAAATGTATCATATAAACCAGCTTCACTTAAGTCTTAAAAGACATGGTCTAAAAAGAGTAGCCAATTATGCATTGAGTCCCACAGAAATATTAATTTAAAATACAAACATACATCCCACCACTTACTTACCCTGTCATCATAATGCCTTATTAATTGCAAAATGAAAGTCTTTTTTTCTTCCAAACTTAGTAAAATCATATTAGAAATTCAAAAAGGTCATAATTTCTCTTTGGCAAAAGCAGTTTGCTATATGAGTTCTGAAGGTACTATGGAAAAACTCACAAATGCAAACTGTTTCAAGGTTGTACAAAAAGTATGATTAGTCTGAGAACTTCTTGAACTGAAAATCTTATTTCTTATTTTACAGAAGGGTTATATTTTGAGGAGCATAAATGATTCTCAAGAGTTGAGTGTCGTATACCTCTTACCCATTCTCTAACGCCTTCTCAGTATACCCTGACTATTTAGATGAGCTCTATCCTTGATTTATGAGTAAAAACCAGGTGTCCCAAGGGACTAGAATTTAAAAAATTATTTGCCTTAATATGCCAAATTTTCTCAAATTTCTGCAATTCATGTCAATCTTTGTATCTAAATTGTCACCATTCTAAATACACTTTTAAATGGTATTTTACTAGTTCTACATAGAAACAAGAGGAAGAGAAAAAACTTTTTAAAATGTCACATTTTTATGCAGTGTTTTAATTTTTTTTTTTTAATTTCTCAGAGCATCTGTCTCTGAGTACAAAATGATTTGCATTCTCTTTCCTAAGAACATAAGAAGTGCATATGAAAATAAATAGTCTTCCTCTAAACCTTTAACACTTCCTTAACATTCTATGTAAAATCTTGAATATAACTTATAGGTGTCAAGATCATAAAAAAAAAAAACGGTTACTGACTTTTAACTTTAAATGGAATTCAAAGGTTGAGAAAGACTGATTTTAGTATAATAGAATTTTTACAAATTTGACAAAGGCAACAAAGATGCCTTTTCACTGTGATACCTAATTGTTAGCCAAGGGCTAAAAATAAATTATGAATACATTCTTTTTCCTCTTAAGAGAAATTTTTTGCCAAACTTGAAGTGTAGCATAAAAGGTCAGCATGGAGTAAAGTGGTATGGAAACCCAAGTAGGAGATAAGTCAAACATTATTTTTCATTTTTAGGGTGTGGACATGTGAGTCTTGACAATGACCTTTTAGGTTGGTTCCTGACCTACCATTAATGCACACTAACACAAGGTGGACTCAAGCTAACTTAATCATGAACTCAGATCAAGACTAACCCTGAATGTGAATTACTCAATTCAAGTGTGCATGGAAGGGATGCAGGGGAGACAAAAGAGAGGGCAGGACAGGGACACATACCAAGGCATCTGTTTTTACTTATGTTTTCCTACATCCAGGCGTAAACATTCACTATGTGCAACAGTGGATATAAGAGAAGATTAGCACAAGAGTTGGACAAGACTTAGCAACTCAACCACCATGCTTACTTTTAGCCGGGCAGTACACTAAGTACTTTGGAGAAGGCAATGGAACCCCACTCCAGGACTCTCGCATGGAAAATCCCATGGACCGAGGAGCCTGGTGGGCTGCAGTCCATGGGGTCGCTAAGAGTCGGACACGACTGAGCGGCTTCACTTTCACTTTCCACTTTCATGCATTGGAGAAGGCAATGGCAACCCACTCCAGTGTTCTTGCCTGCAGAATCCCAGGGACGGGGGAGCCTGGTGGACTGCCATCTATGGGGTCGCACAGAGTCGGACACGACTGAAGTGACTTAGCAGCAGCAGCAGCAGCACACTAAGTACTTTATGTGTATAAATGCATTAATCAACAATAACCACAGTGACACAGGTATTATTATTTCCAATTAAAGATGATGACACCAAGACCCCAAAAGGTAAAGAAACTGGCACAATATACGGCAAGTAGGCAACCATGTAGGATTCTAATCTCTTATGACTCCTTAAGCCAATTGTTTAAATGTGTCAATATCTTTCATAATCAGTCTTTTCATCCATAAAGCAGGAGGAATAAAACAGATCACTTTACAGGAACTGTAATGGTAAAATTAAAAACCCTAGAAAACTACTATGAAAACTATGTGTAGGTATGTGTTAAGTCACTTCAGTCGTGTCTGACTGTTACCCACCAGGCTCCTCTGTCCATGGGGATTTTCCAAGCAAGAATACTGGAGTGGGTTGCCGTGCCCTCCTCCAGGGGAATCTTTCCAACCCAGAAATCAAATCCATGTCCCTTAGTCTATCTGCATTTGCAGGTGGGTTCTTTACCACTAGTGCCACCTGGGAAGCCCATGTAAACAATAAAGTACTGTTAATAGTAATGACGGCATTAGCGAAGCAAAGTCGCTCAGTTGTGTCCGACTCTTTGTGACACCATGGACTGCAGCATACCAGGCTCCTCTGTCTATGGAATATACATACATACAAAGATTAAATAGGAGACTAATGTAAAATTATACTAACCCCTCAATGGCTTAACAAAATCTCTCTTCTAGCCAAGCATCCCCTAAATCTTTACCTTGAGCCAAAACTTTAGGAAGATCTAGGCATAAATCCAGCATGCGTTTGTGCATGCTGTAATTCATGGTAGCTTGATCTGGAAAGCACCCACCACAGACAGTTTTCCTCAACTTCCAGTGTCCCTCTCAGTTTCAGCCTTGAGCGCCTTATTTACTTACTCATGTGGTGGGGGATTGAGAATTTTCAAAGTATGGCTTATTTCTCTTGGATCTTCTCTTCCTTTTCTTCTTTTTAGAAGAAAGGAAATGTTTTATGAGTGCAAAATCAATGCCATTTGGTTAATACTATGAACCTTACCCATGGATGTTTTTCTCATCACTAGCTTGTTTTCAGTTATAAAAGCCTTACTGTAGGAGAATTAAGGCTTCTGCTGTGGTAAAGTTAAAGTAGTGGCTGTCTTTCTTCACACAATAATTCTTTACTGACTTCCTCAGGAATGTCTTTAGTGTGGTTTAAGCTTCCTCACAAACTCTCCCTTCAGCTTATGGCAATAGTAAACAGCTGTATTCTGAAATGTGAAATTTATATAACAGAATAGTTTCTAAAAGCATACTTAAGTATAAAGTGGATTAAAAAACTTCTAACCAGTTTTACTGGCTTCCCTGGTAGCTCAGCTGGTAAAGAATCTACCTGTAATGCAGGAGACCCTGATTCAATTCCGAGGTTGGGAAGATCCCTTGGAGAAGGGATAGGTTACCCATTCCAGTATTTTTTTTTCCATTTATTTTTATTAGTTGGAGGCTAGTTACTTTACATCATTGCAGTGGTTTTTGTCATACATTGAAATGAATCAGCCATGGATTTACATGTATTCCCCATCCCGGATCCCCCTCCCACCTCCCTCTCCACCCGATCCCTCTGGGTCTTCCCAGTGCGCCAGGCCCGACCACTTGTTTCATGCACCCAACCTGGGCTGGTGATCTGTTTCACCCTAGATAATATACATGTTTCGATGCTGTTCTCTTGAAACATCCCACCCTCGCCTTCTCCCAGAGTCCACAA